AGGAAAAAAGAGAAAAGGCCAGATTCTTGCCCCACGTTTCCTGGGCTATTCACCAGGTGGCCAAGGACCAACAGCATGCAGTCTAGGAGTACCAGAAAGTTCTCTGTAACCATCTGTTAAGCTCAGTCATTTGGCTGAGAAGGCTGCCAGATCTGCCACTAGGTAAACTACTTCCCCAGGAGAAGAGAGTAGAGAGGGGCCTTTCCCGCTCTGCTCTGCTCATCAGCCTGGGTTGACAATGGTTGCTCCAGCTGAGTAGACTGTACCAGACCCGTGCTGTGCCGGTGTCCTAGGGAAGGGAAGGACAGTGCTTTGCCTTTGTCCCCTTTCATGTTTCCTCAAGATGCCTGGCCACCCCCACACCTGAAGAGTCACTTCACAGGGAATTTGTTTTAAAGCATGAACTATGTGATGGGTCTGGAAAAGTAATCTGTACACTCACAGTGAGCGAACACTGCTGTGTACCAGCCAGCATCTCCATCAGACAGTAGAAAGGCAGTCGGCTCTATCCAGTTGACTCAAAGGCCATTCCAACCCTGATTATTAGTTCTGTAGTCTGTAGGGTTTTTTGTTTGTTTTTACTTTATGTAAAACTTTATGACCACAACTGGTGCTGACAGTTACTGGTAACTATGAGCCACCATGTGTGCTGGAAACTGAACCAGTGTCCTCTGCAAGAACAGCAAATGTTCTTAACTATGGATCCATCTCTCCTGTCCCAAGTTGTGTGTGTATGTGTTTTTGTTTTTTTTTTTTTTTTTTTTGAGACAGGGTTTCTCTGTATTGCTTTGGAGTCTGTCCTAGAACTAGCTGTGTAGACCAGGCTGGACTAGAACTCACAGAGATCCAACTGCCTCCTGAGTGCTGGGGTTAAAGGTGTGCACCACCACGCCCACTAATAGGAGTTTTTATGTGCTTGGGTGTGAGTGCCTGGCCAGATAAATGTACATCAGTTGTCTCTGGTTTTGTGGTTTGTGAAATTGCTCAGTTGCCGCTTGAAAACAGGGTATGAACTGCTCCTGGACAGTGGGGCGGATTCCAGCTGGTGAGGTGGGTATGCCTGCTCCAGCCATGTGAGGGGTTGGAAACTGACCTCACTCTTCTTGAGTTTCAGGTCGTGGATTCACAGATAAAGTAGACCGACTGAAGCTGGCAGAGGTTGTGAAGCAAGTGATTGAAGAGCAGACTGTCCCCCATGAGCCCCAGTAGTAAAAGCTTCAAACCGTTTTTAACAATTGGAAAAATTATTCCTTAATGTAAAAAGTAATTTTTATGTAAATTAATAAATCATAATTTCATTTCCTTGTTGCTTAATGTTGCTATATAGAGTTAGGTTCAGAGTTTCTTAACAGTTAACTGTTTTACTTTAAAAAAAAAAAAAGCTCAATTCCTATACTTATTAACATAGGATAATTGAGTTTTATGACACTGTCAAGAAAGACCGATGTGTTTATAAGAAAATATATTAGCAACTGTTTGTGAGATGCAGGGAAAGGAGCCATGCAGGCTTTCTGCTGTAAACTGTTACATCAAGCACCACTTTACAAATGGAGCCTCTCTCCTTTTGCCTTGGTTGTTTGCTCCCTGCACCTTGCCTAGATTATTTCTAGTGCTGACCTGTTTTTAGAAATCAGGTTTTGCCAACTACCTTCTATAGCTTCCAGGATGGATACTCCTTGGCCTGGAGCCATTCAAGGCAGAAAAGCAGGAGTGTGAAATTTGCTTCTCTTGTCTCCAATCCCAGAAAAAGTTATTTTCTTTCTGTCATACTTATCAAGGGTGTTGGTGCTACGATTTGCTTTGGGCCTTACTCTTCATGGTTTTAACTTAGAGTTTCCCTTTCCCTTCCCTGGCACCCATTCTGTCCTCTGCCTCCTTGACAGCCTTACTGTGTAAACATTTATTTCTGTAGTCTTTTTTTTTTTTTTTTTTTTAAACATTAAAAAAAAATTTTTTTTCTGCCTCCATGTGTATCTGCACACCAGAAGAGGGCACCAGATTTTTTATTACAGATTTCTGTGAGCCACCATGTGGTTGCTAGGAATTGAACTCAGGACCTCTGGAAGAGCAGATAGCGCTCTTAACCTCTGAGCCATCTCTCCAGCCCCCTCTAGCCTTTCTGGTACAATTTTGCTGACATCAGAAAGGGTCCAATTTTGCTTGGCTGTTTTTCTCTTACAGCTGTCCATACTAGTGGTTCTGTCTAGATTTATTTTCTTCAGTTCCTTCAATCTCAGGAGATATAATTAGGACCCAGAAAACAGCTTTTTACTTTGTTACCTATTGTGTATATAGGCACACCCAGCCCCTCTGGTAGTTTTTTACAGCTGTTTTTAGTGATTCTTTGCTTAAACCCAGAAGAGCTCACAGGTAGGACAAGCCCTCTCTCATTCAATTTTGTCGCCTCTTCAATCAAAATGGATTTTACTGGGCTTTATTTTCTAGCTCCTGAGTGTCTTCACTGTTCTTCAGGATGCCACTGACTGGGGCTGTGTGCTAAAAACCACTGTGTCCTGGGAGGCTGCAGTGGGAGAAAAGGTTCATTGCTCTCGAGTGACTGCTATGGTGAGAAGTGGGGGCACTTTTCAGGATAGCGAGCTCTCAGGGTTAGGTGGCAGAGAAAAACAAGTTTAAGCAAAATTTCTGAGCAGGAAATGTAGTTGAGAGTTGGCTTAAGGGATGTTGTTCGTCAGTTGAACCTCTCCCAGATCATCATGCTTGACCAGAGGCCAGAATCCATCTACCCATGGGGACAGAAGTCAGCTGTTAGTCTTTGCTTTAGAGGAACACGCTGACACACTAACTCTTCCATCCATCTTAGAAATTTATCATCAGGGTGTCTTCTAAAAGCTTAGATGCATTGTAAATATGACTGGAAAGGACATCTTGATGATTGATTTTTGTCTTGAGTATGCTTGATTATTTCAGCGGCTTCAGGCTGAAATCACCTAGCACCATTATGAAATCCATATCTACGTTTGTTCAAATGAGACCTGTTGGATGTCTGTCAACCATGGAGATGATGCCATTCAAAAGTAGGTTCAACCCTGAACAAAATGCTCCCAAGCAACGGCAGTTTTCAAGAAACTCTGTATTCTGCATCAAAGGTTTTTTTTTTTTTTTCTTTGTATATTCCTATGTCAGTAGTTAATTACGCTTTAACATGAGTCAGTTTTGCTAATAGTACAAAGTCTACACCTAGCAGGAAGTTAAACCTTATCTTCCTGGTAATTGACTGCCTGCCTGTCACTGATGTCTTGGGGACGTTACAAGGCCAGCTCTTGTCAGGCAACAGGCTGTCATCTCCAGTTTGCTACGTCATTGCTGACTCTGCTCACTGAGACCATTGCTTGTCACTCAGATAGGGTGTGTCTTAACTGTCATGTCTCTCACTGGAGAGCAGTTTCTTTCTGGCTCACATGCAGCATGGCCATAGGAAAATGCCTCTTAGAAATTTATTTTAGGTCTCTCAAGACAAAGTTTTCTTTGTATAATGGTCCAAGCTGGAACTCTATTTGTAGACTAGTCTGGCCTTGAACTAACAAACAGCGATCTACCTGCCTCTATGTCCTGAGTGCTGGGATTTAAGGGTGTGCTACCACCACCCAGCAGAAACTTCTTTTTGAAATATCACTGTAAGGATTGCTTTTTTTTATTTAAAAAAAAAAAAAAAAGATATGTTCTTTATACATGTGAGAATGAACAAGTTCAAAGAATAGAATGTATTGTTGGTAAAGAAGTCAAAAGATTTTAATCAGATCTTGTGTGTCAAGATGTATGGATGTACTGAAGAAAACTTGTTTCAATTTGGGAACTGGAAAAGTAGATATTTCATTATAATTACGTATTTTTAAATTGGGAAGGAACTCTTCCCTTACTGCTCCTTGGTTTCTAATAACTTAACCTGGCCTTTCTTGTTCATGAGTTATGACAGAGGAAGTGGTACATCAGTTCCAGAGCAGGCGCTCACAAGAGGCGCGAGTCACACAGAAAAGGGCAGTGAGCGGGGGGTGGGGGGTGGGGCACTCACTTGACTCTGTTCTCAAGTCAGTGTGGGTGTGTGTGTGTGTGCCTGCTTGCTGGACCCTGAGGACACCTGACAAGGGCAGGTATTGTCAATTGATTACGCTGATATAATTTTTTTGGTGGTGGTGGTGGTGGGGTTTTTGTGGGTTTTGTTCTTGTTGGACTTAGTATTCCTGGCTGGCTCAAAACTTAGAATCCTCTTGTCTCTGCCTCCTAAGCGTTGAGATTACAGGAACACACTACCTTTCTGAAATAGGGGGCATTTCTCCATTTTCAACTTGAAGTGTAGTTATACCCTGTAATTTAAAATTACTTTTATGCCATGTGTAAGATGTAGAGTTTTATTTTAATGTTAGAATATGCACGAGAATGAAGAAATGGGGGAAGAGAGGTGTACTCAGAGCTTCTGTTTTCTTCTAAATGTATACTGTTAACACACCAACATTAAGGTAAAAACTAAAGCCTGGGATTTGCACAGACAGTAGAAGCACACTGTAGTCAACAGACAACTGTGGGAACTTAAGGGTTCTTCCAGAGATCATTTTCATTTTCTTCATTGTGAAATTGGTCACCAGTCTGTTGTACCATTTTATTTTTATGATGAGGCCATTGGGAGGACTTAATTAGATTACAGGCTCTAATACGTTTCTGTGATAAAAACAAGACCATTTAACACTTATTCTTTAGAAGCCCTCCATGGAGAAGGACCATGTTTGAAGTGGGTGTATCAGAATTCATTAGGTACATACACAAAAGATGAGCAAAAGCAGAACATCCAAATGCTGTTCTCCTGAATAAAAGGAATAAAGCAGTCATGGATAAAAGAGAACTAACCACCACTAAGCATGACCATGATGAGGATGAGGAAAGAGGCAGGACAACAGAGAATTCTTAATTGTTCAGAGAACCCCAAGAAGCTCTGACCCCTCCCCCGAAACCCCGCCAGAATGTTGGGACCGAAAGAAAGAGCAGGTTAACAGATGTCATGTCCACAGCCAGGAGAGAATGAGATGATCTGACTTACAGAGCTGGCTGAGTCATTGCAGACTACAGGGCTCACCTCCATGAACATCAGAGCAATTTAAGCAACACTGAAGGAGTCCCTGTGCTGTCCATAACTGCTGTGGCCCAGGAGAGAAGGAAGAACATAAGACAGCCTGAAGGCTGAAAGTCAAGATGGACAGCAGCCCACCAGGGACAAGCACAGATCTGGGTTGCTGAGTCGGGGAAAACCCTATCAGGGAGGAGTGCCACTGATGGACATAGATCCTACATAACGGTTTCTTTGGGCCATGTCACTGGCGGCATCAGTGAGAGGGATTACCTCCATTCTGTCTTCTCTACAGATAACATCTCACACCTTGCCTGCTCAGCAGTTGGACTTGGGTCTGAAATTAGTGCAAGGACACCCGTCTGTCAAAGTAGGGATCTTGGTGCTATTAATTTTTCTCCCAAGTACATTCTGTGACATAGGATCTATATATTACTCGTCCTATGAAACGGTCATCCCCAAGAGACTGCCTGTGGAGAGGAGCGAAGACCCCGGAGGGACGGTGTCCTACATGCTGTTGATGCAGGGCCAGCAGCAGCGGCTTCTCCTAAAGGTAAAGGGAGACTACTCTGTGAAGAACTTCCCAGTCTACAGTTACCACAGGGGCATCCTGGGGCAAGAAATGCCTCTCCTCTCACGGGACTGTCACTATGAAGGCTACATGGAAGGGGTGCCAGGCTCTTTTGTATCTGTCAACATCTGTTCCGGCCTCAGGGGCATCCTGATTAAGGAGGAAACATCCTACAGCATCAAGCCTCTGCTCTCTTCCAAAGGGTGTGAACACATTCTGTACACTGTGGCACAACAGCCTCACGCCTCCTGCAGCGTCACTCCCAAAGGCAGCTCAGGGGACACCAGCCAGGAACAAAGGAACAGGGAGCCCGATGACCCGTGGAAGCTGTCTGACTTGAGGTCACACACCAAGTACGTGGAGATGTTTATCGTGGTCAACCACCAGCGTTTTCAGATGTGGGGCAGCAGCGTCAACCAGACGGTCCGGGCGGTAGTGGACATCATTGCTCTGGTCAACAGCTTCACCAGGGGACTAAACACAGAGGTGGTGCTGGTGGGCATGGAGATCTGGACAGAGGGGGACCTGATAGAGACCCCGGTGGACCTGCAGGCTACCCTGAGGAACTTCAACCGCTGGAGACAGGAGAAGCTCGTGGACCGGCTCAGGCACGATGTTGCACACTTGATCGTCGGGCATCACCCAGGAGAGAACGAGGGCCAGGCGTTTCTCGACGGTGCCTGTTCAGACGGGTTTGCAGCAGCTGTGGAGGCCTTCCACCATGAAGATGTCCTGCTGTTTGCGGCGCTGATGGCCCATGAGCTGGGGCACAACCTGGGTATCAGGCACGACCACCCGGCCTGCGTCTGTGACCATAAGCACTTCTGCCTCATGCACGAGAATATCACCAAGGGCGGCAGCTTCAGCAACTGCAGCTCTGATGACTTCTACCGTTTCCTCCATGACCACAGAGGGGCCTGCCTGCTTGACAGGCCTTGGCACCAAAGCCGTAGTCGCAGAGCTACCAAATGTGGAAACGGTGTGGTGGAGGATTGGGAGGAGTGTGACTGTGGTCCTGCTTGTGACCATCACCCATGCTGTGATCCAACTTGTACACTGAAGGACGGTGCAGAGTGTAGTGACGGACTCTGCTGCTACAAATGTCACTTAAAAAAGAAAGGGGTCTTATGTCGTCCTGTTGAGGATGTGTGTGACCTGCCCGAGTACTGTAATGGCAGTTCTCAAGAATGCCCTGCAAACAGCTACAAGCAGGATGGCACACTGTGTGATAGGATTTATTACTGCTCTGGGGGTTGGTGTAAGAACCCTGATAAGCAATGCACAAAGATATATGGGTATCCTGCAAGATCAGCCCCTGATGACTGTTACATCTTAATGAACACCAAAGGGGACCGGTTTGGAAACTGTGGCCATCCCACCACAGCTAACTCACGATACGAAACATGTTCCGATGAGGATGTATTTTGTGGGAAGCTGGTATGTACAGGAGTTAGCCACTTGCCGCAAGTGAGACCCCAACACACATTGCTCCAGGTCCCTTATGGAGATGATTGGTGCTGGAGCATGGATGCCTATAACATCACCGACGTCCCTGACTTTGGAGACGTGCAGAGTGGCACTTACTGTGCCCCAAACAAAGTCTGCATGGAGTACTATTGCATTGACCACACAGTGCTCCAGTACAACTGTGAGCCAGAGGAAATGTGTCACGGGAAAGGAGTGTGTAACAATCTCAGGCACTGTCATTGTGATGATGGTTTTGCCCCTCCTGATTGCAGCAGCCCAGGAAATGGGGGGAGTGTGGACAGTGGTCCTGTTAGTAAGCCAGCTGATCAAAACTTGAGTTTATTTTTAGTTCTCGACCATAACAAGCCTAAGATGGAAGATGAAGATGTAAACATGAAAGTGGTGGTGCTTGTGGTCCCTATATTTCTTGTCCTTTTACTGTGTGCTCTAATGCTGATCACCTACCTCTGGTCCGAAGTACTAGAAGCAGTATCTCCAGGGAGTTCATCATCCTCTTCAACAGAAACCTCAGATGCTGCAGCAGCCCAGCCCCGTGAGGGTACAGCTCAGCCCTATGGGTGGGCTCCACCCCACTGAAATGTATTTAAGATCTCGTGGATCGCTGATACTGATCTTGTATCTGCAGGGCAGTTTTGAGAAGTGGTTTGCAGGGTATGCTGCATCTGAACAGTTTAGTGTAATGTGTTATCTGTACTTGTGTTGCTCAACTCAGTAACAGCTGCTCTTATATCATGAATGTTTTTATAGGATCTGAATGTTCTAACTTGCCCTGTCAGCTACTGTTCATAAAATTGAGGTGGTTTTAAATAAATATGAGTAAGAAGGTCTTGCCCTCTTCAGATGAAGCATCACTCAAGACTAGTCATCCTTGTACTCTGGGATCTTTCATTTTAAAGCTTTTTGGACAAGGCTAGACCTCAGGTACTCAATAGGTACTTGGGCACAGGAAGCAGCCTCAGCACAGATCTCCTGGCAGTGCTGAAACTCATAATAACATTTTATTTTTCTACTGAATTTGGTTTAAAAAAGAATGATGTGCAGTGGTGGCAATCACCTTTAATCCCAGCACTCAGGAGGCAGAGGCAGGTGGATCTCTGTGAGTTCAAGACCAGCCTAGTTTACATAGAGAAACCCTGTCTCAAAAAGTCAAAAAAAAAAAAAAAATTACGTTTATATATATGAACATTTGGCTACATGTATGTGTGTAAGTTGTGTGCCTACTTCCTAAGGAGGCCAGAAGAAAGTGTTATTTCCCATGGAATTAAGAGTCGCAGACAATTGTAAGCTGCCATGTTAGTGGTAGGAACTGACTCTGGGTTCTCTGCAAGGGCAGCTGGCATCTGGTGTCCTGTGGACTGGCAGTCTGCCTGGTCTTCAATATGGAGGTTTCCTGTTTCCTCTGAGACAGAGCAAGCACAAAGTACAGTTCATCCCACATCAGTCACTGTCTTAATTCTTCCCAGCTCCCAGGAAACAGGAAGAACATGTAGTGGGTACTGCACCCCCAAGTTTAACCCAACAGCTGACACTCTATGCCCTATGAGCCTTTCACTTCCGTGGAAAGGAAGTACATTTCATAAGGCTGTGCTTGTCCAGACTGCACCTTTTTTCTCAAATAGGTGTTAAGTTCTATCAAGATCCTCCTCCACAGGGTAGTCAGAATATAAGTATCTTCAGAATCTATTAACTGTGATTATAACTCAATGACAGTGTTCTTGCCCAGCACATGCAATGTCCTAGATTCAGTCCCCAATTAAGTATGATATCTCTTACCTAGAATCTCAGCACTAGGAGGCTGAGGCAGGAGAATTGCCATAAATGCAAGGCCAGCCTGGACTGTAATAAAAGCCTGCAATTCATAGCATAGTTAGAGAACTGTTTCAAGTCTTGTTTGTTTTGCAAATGGAAGATGGTGGTCCTCAAGAGGACAGTAGTTAGATTTAGATGTTAGAGTCTAGGTCCTGGCAGTCTTTCTCAACCCTTTCACATGTCACATATCCTGCATATCAGATATGAATCATAATGTAAATAACAGTTATAGTTACAGTTATGAAGTTGTAATTTTTTTTCTTTTTCTTTTTTTTTTTTTTTTTTAAATTTAACACAGGGTTTCTCTGTGAGCTTTGGAACCTGTTCTGGAACTAGCTCTCTAGACCAGGCTGGTCTTGAACTCATAAAGATCCACCTGCCTCTGCTTTTCCAAGGGCTGGAATTAAAGGCATGTACCACCTCCACCTGGCACAACAAAGTAACTTTAAGGTTGGGGTCACCACATGAGGAACTGTATTAAAGAGTCATAGCATTAGGAAGGTTGAGAACCACTGCTCTAGGCATATTTTAAAGCCAGAAATGACAACACCTTACAAAGATGGAGGGGTTTGCTGATGAGAATGAGAGCAACACACAGCTGAGGTTTTTGGACTTACCTGGCTGGGCCTTCAATAGTTCCAGCAGCAGCAGACTTAACCAATTAGTATGAGATGCCTGCTAAACACACAGTGGATGTGTGCACTATGCAGTAAGGTGATGCTAGCCAGAGATGTGGGGTTGGCTCAAACTGCCTTGCTAGAGAAGGGACATCTGTGTACACACATGTTGCTGGAAAGAGGTCAGAGTGTATCCAGTATGGGAGAGAATTATTCTAGAAACCACGACGAGAAAGGTCTGAAGAGCTTTACTGCAGAAACCCAGTCAGTCCACCTCAACATTCAGTCAGCTACACATCCAGAATATGGTGTCTCTTCAGCACCCCAAACCTTCCAGTACTGGACAGCTCAGCATCCGCACCTATGGGCAACTGCAGAGGACATGAATTGGTCTCTGCTTCCGCCCTGTGGTCTGCACCCAACAGTCTGTGTGGTTCTAAATGGAAATGAGATCACCGATAAACTTCTAAATGCTGCTGATAAAGAGGACTCTGTGTGTGTGTGTGTGTGTGTGTGTGTGTGTGTGTGTGTGTGTGTGTGTGTGTGTGTGTAACCTGTCATGTGCTTGTATGCTCCAATGGAATGATCTGGCTTAGGGTGAAGTCTTATAAGCCCATCAATCAGTGAACTTTTTTCGTGACTTTTTTTTTTTTTTTGTTTAATGTGAATGGGTGTTTTGCCTGCATTTCTTTGCATCACATCTGCCTTACGCCTTCAGGGGAGGTTAGATCCCTTGGAATTGGGGTTGCAGAAAGCTGTGAGCTACCCCATGGCTACTGAGAAGTGAACCTGGATCCTCTGCAAGAGCAGCTAATGCTCTTAACCACCAAACCACCTTTCTATCACTAAACGACAGCTTAATTGGTTTTTGTTTGTTTTTTGTTTCCTGAGACAAGGTCTCATGCAACCCTGGCTGTTCTAAAACTCACTATGTAGACCAAGCTGGCCTTGAACTCCTAGAAACCCACCAGCTTCTGGTCCCAAGTGCCAGGACCACCATACCAGGCTTGCTTTTTTAGACACCCTCTGTCTCATCCATACGTCAGAAGAGGTTACATCACATGCACACACATCAGTCTAGGGACATGAGTATCAAGAAAGGAACCACAACACCTCTTAAAATGAGCATCACTGCTCCATAAAGACCAGCTTGAAGAAATTTAGCAAATTCATGGAGGGTAATTCAAAATAACAATCCTAAGGAAACTTAGATACAGAACAGTACAGGCAGATGATACAAAGAAATGAGAAATGCAACAGAATGTGTTAACATTATAAATAATGTGTAACAGTCCAAGGTCAAAGCATAATATAGCATCCCAAAGCAGTAGGGTGAAACCCACACATAAGAGCTGCCTGCCCTGCAGTCAATTGTTAAGCAAAACCACAAAGTCTAGAGAGAAGACCTGCCAACAAAATTACCACGCCCTAGGATGGAGGGATGGCTTATCTTTGAAAGAGTACTGGCTGCCACTACAGAGGCCCAGGTTCAAATCCTAGGACCTACAATATACATAAATACATATGAAAAATAAAATATGAGTCCACAAAAATTACCCTTCAGAACTGAAAGGAAGAAAGCAGAAGCTGAGGGAATTCATCATTGTAAAAGAACAGCCAAGAAGCTCTACCCTAGACAAAATATCAACCACCCTCTGGAGAACACATGCACATGAAAAACTGACAAGCACTTGGGGCATGACTGTGCTTGCACTGTGCTCGCCTAGGGTTCAGTCCCAGCACCATACAAATTAGATGTGCTGGTGCACACCTGTAACCCCAGCTCTTTGGCTATAAGAGAAGATCAGGAGGTTCTTGGCTATATAGTTTGAGGCCAGCCTAAATTCATATAGGAAATATAAGAATTATAAATACATATATACCTACAATGGAACCACTCAAATACTATTGGAACTAAGAGGAAAGAATTCAATACTCTACTTGTTTTTATACATCATCCATAATGAAAATCAACAAAGACATCTGTTTAACCACACTGTAGGACAAATGTCCTGGAAGACACTACAGAATACTGACATCAAAAGGGCATATATTATTTCTATTGGCATATGGGGCATTTTCTAAGATAAATGTTAAGTTAAAAATCAAGTCTCGAGGTTGTTGAGTGGTTAAGTGTACACACCAGCACATCATGCTTGTAAAGGACCTGAGTTCAGTATCCAGCCCCCAAGCCAAGGCAGCCCACAGTTGCCTGCCATCCCACCTCCAAAGGGGCAGATACTCTTCTGGCCTCCATTGACATGTGCATTCACAGATATAATTAAAAATTTAAAAATTACACTTGGGGGGCAGAAGCAGGCAGATCTCCATGAGTTCGAGGCCTGCCTGACCTACAGGGCTAGTTCTCTGTAGAGCCTCCAAAGCAATACAGAGAAACCCTGTCTTGAAAAACCAAAATAAAAAAATAAATTTAAAAATCAAGTCTTAAGAAATCATTTTGTTTTGGGGAACGGTTTCTCTCTGTACCCTTGGCTGGCCTTGAACTCAGATGTCTGCCTCCCGAGTGCTGGAATTAAAGGCATGTGCCACCCCGCCCTGCCCCCACCCCTGCTAGTCTCAAGAAACTAAAAAAAAAACAATCAGATGGCCCAGTGAGTACGAGTCTTGCCACACAAGCCTGCCGACCTGAGTCTGGTTCACAGAATGAACACCAGATAGCTACATGTGTCAGCTCTGTCTGAATCCCAGCACTCCGCCATTAAGATGGGAGGTAGAGACAAGCCCAGAAGCTGAGCCAGCTGGCCTAGGCTATTCAACAAAGCAGGATAAATGGGGAACACACCTCAACCAGGTGAAGGAAACTAAAAAAAATAACTTTAAATTAGTTTTACAAATCTAAAATCATATCTAGGCAGGAGTAGATCATGCCTTTAATCCCAGTATTCAGGAGGCAGAAGCAGGTAGATACCTGTGTTCAAGACCAGCATGGTCTTCAGGTCTTCAGAGCGAGTTCAGGGCAGCCAGGACTGTTACAACATAGAAACCCTGTCTTGAAAAGCCAAACCATACTCAACCTTACTTATCTTCTCAAACGATGAAGGATAAACTACAGATCAACAAGAATGGGCAATGCACAGGTACCTGGGAACAATGACATGAACCTCGGAGAATTTATAAATACAGATGTAAATGTCAGCACCACATGTGGGAATCTACAGCTAAAGTAAGGCAATGCTGAGAAGGCAGCCACAGCAGTCAGTTCCCACATAAAAAGAGCTCTAAGAAGCTGGGCAGCGGTGGCGCACACCTTTAATCCCAGCACTCGGGAGACAGAGGCAGGTGGATCTCTGTGAGTTCAAGACCAGCCTAGTCTACTAATTCCAGGGCATCCAGAGCTACACAGAGAAACCCTGTCTGGAAAAACCAAAAGGAGGGTGGGG